GCTTGTATTTTATCACCTTGCACTTTCACGACTTGACTGTGGTTTTCTACAGCAGTTTGTTCAATTTTCTGACCAGTTGAACAGTTTGGTTCTATAAAACAAATTGCAATTTGGTCAGAATTTTGAATAAGTTGCAATAGGTGGAGAGCAACACTTACACTCAAGTCACAGTAAATCTAACAAGGTTTATCTTGTTCATGAAGTTATTGATTATTCTATTTCAGATTGTTTTGTTGTCCCCTGACTCTACCTGTGAAAGAGGTACATAGACATTTAATAGGATGATTAGTGAATGAGTTCTCGTAATTCTTTGTTTATATTTGAAGATTATTGCTTGCAAAATACCCTGTTGATTTTGATGTCATAACTCTTAGTTCCTATATGAAAATAATGATAAGTCAGATGCTGGTAGTGTCAATATCATTCAGTAGTATTATATACTATGTTAATGTTTAATCACGCCCTTAATGTTCGCTTTTCCGCAGATTGTTAAGACCATTATATTGCACATTACAAAACGGCGGAGAACATCTTGCAACGATGTAGCAGTCTTATATTATGCCTCTTTTCTGAAAGTACAACCCTGTTTCACTTTTCGGTTTTCGTCCCGAGTATTGTTCTGTGATTTGACAATGAATAAATTTAGCAAGCAAGCAAGCAAGCGATCGGTCTTATTATTTGAGTGGGAAAACATGATTAGAAGTCCCACGTTGGAAGGCGTGATTTGTTCATTACAAAGTTTAGCACCATTGTATTATGCAAGTAGGCAAACAAAGTTCAACTGTTCGAAAAAAGTATCCCAAGTAAGATCTACTAGCATTACGCAGCATTTCGTATGTTGATGATGATGGATGGCTGCGTAACGTCCAGCTGCAAGTTAAATGCATATTCAAGGAAAGCACATGTTAATGCTATATGAATATTGACTCTACTTTGTACTAGAACGACACGCTAAGCTGGATTTTGAAAGTGCTATTTTAAAGACATGTAAACCCTACCTGGACACATTGTTCTGACTCAGAGCCGACCAATCTTTGCTCTTTCTCCTTAATGCCGCAATTGCTTAGTGGATAAGCAGCAGTAACTATCAATTTTAAAGTCTTTGGTTAGACCCGGTCATGATTTGAGCCCACAACATCCCGTTCCCGGGGCGAACACGCTACCATGAGACCAACGAGGCGGTTGCACTAACTGTGAAAGAAGTCCTATGTTAGAACTGGAATTAAACTTGATCTTAATGATGTCATCTATTTAACATCATGAACTCCGTCGTTACTATCAATTATAGAACACAGAGTAAAACAGGCACACTTGTGTTCATATGATAATTATTGGAGCTTTTCAGCTTTATAGGTAATTATGGAGCACATATTCCCAGTTAACCTACTTTTCACCTACGTAGTACCCTCATGCTAATTAGAAAAGACTGTCATGAATTATACATTTCACGACTGGATATACATATGTCCAACCATAGTCAAACCAAGCACAGAAATGTTATACAAGTATTGATGTCTACTTGATACAGAATGTGAAACCGCTACGAAAGTACGCTGGAAATATAGGGAATAAGCAAATGAATTAAGAAGTTTACAATTTACTTCCTATCAGTTTTATTTGAATTTTATGTTTTTACGATTTTTTAAATTTTATTTAGATTTTACTACATGCTGTATTGAAATATGTTTGATTTTTGAAGAGTTACCCCGTAAAAGCTATATTTTTCATGCCAAATCAAACATATGCATTGTTTGCTATTTTATTACTGGCTCGAATCTACTACTACAGTTTGTTTCAAATAATAAAACTAATGCATATTGACAAAACGGATAAATCAGATACGCTTGAAAATTAAAACATTTATTTTATTAGTGTTGTTTTGAACAGATACAGTTACCTTTTGTTTTATTATTCCCAAAACAGTAACAATAACCGTACCTTGCAAGACATAACACATTATATTTCTGAAAGTGAGATTTTTTCAAGATAATAATCATGGGGACAAAGCAATTTGATAAATATTCGATATATTTATAATAAACTGTACGTTAATAAGGCCTTTTCATGACTCGTATGTTTTAAAATTAGTATTGATTATGATTGATATCACTGGGAGAACTATAGTGACGATAAGGTGGGAAAGTCTATCGGGACAAACATAATATCTTTTAGTTTAGTAAACTTTTAAAAATAATGTTCCCAAGCAGATATATTACAATTTCATATACGTGACATTTACAATTAAAAGATCATGATTTGTTTTAAAAATACATTTTAGATTAAAAATACAGCCGTTCTTACCGTAAAAAGAGGAAGGGCTATTTTCTCAACATCTGCTTGGGCAACATCCTTAAAAAGAAGTGTGAAATCCTTTCAAATTCTAATTTTTAAAAATGAGTTAAATTAAAAGTTCTAATGAATTATGAAGTAATTGTCAGACAATGAACAAAATAAAATACGTAGTTTTTTTTTATTGGGTAACAAATAAGCAGTCAATGATACACATTACATTTGATAAACTCTACTGATTAAACAAATCTCATACCACATAATAGGCCATTTCATTTAATTTACTGTCTTTTCGTGGCTGTATATTAATCCATAAGAGCAAGTATTTTATTTATTATGAAGAACATAGATTCCATATGTAATTCAAGAATATTTAAAAAATAATATTTCAGGGCCAAATAGTACCTTGATAACTCATATATTATGTTCAGTGACCTGCAAAATCTGGGTGAAAAGTCGTTTAAAAGTTTAAAACATCTAAATGAACATGTGTACTTTGTTGTAAGTTAATGTGACCACAACTTCATTGTAAATCATCGTAAAGCTAAACTTTATTCTGATAAGTCGGTCGAACGGATAGACGGACACGCAGACCGGAAACAAAAAAAATATCCCGACGATATATTTTCTCCGTTGGATAGTTGAGTCAACGGCTAAACATCAATTTTACTACCGCATACTGATTTCATCTTCAATTCTGCCATCAATTTTAGAACACCATGTTTGCACACTTGTAAATCTGTCTTTCCATCAGCAGTATACCAACTTCTCCCGCATATGGAGTATACATTTCTCAACTTATACGATATCCAAGAACTTGCAGCTGCTACTCTCAGACTTTGTAAAACGTCATAGGTGTCTGAGCAAAAAAAAATGAGCCAGGGTTTTTTCTTAAAATGTCCTGTACCAAGTCAGGAAAATGGCTATTGTTATCTTGAAGTTCGTTTCTGTGTGTGTTGCATGTTAGTGTTTCTGTTGTGTCTTTGTTCTCCTCTTATATTTGATGTGTTTCCTTCAGTTTTAGTTTGTAACCCGGATTTGTTTTTCCCGATCGATTTATGAATTTCGAACAGCGGTATACTACTGTTGCCTTTATTTTTGTCAAAGAACGATTCTAGGTCCTGAAGTTGTGTATCTTTTTATTTACTTTACAGTTTTTCCATTATTTGTCTTCGTGTTATTATATTTATTTTGGTCTTATGACTTTTTACGTGTCTCGGTATTTATGCATCCCGCTATCAGGTTTTTGACTTTGGGCGTACCTGGTGCAGGTGGGTTCTGAGTTGCGATTCGTTCACAAAATGTTTTTACAGTGTTGTTTACATTATATGTTTGATTGATTTTTTTGGCCAGTTGTGTTGTATGTTTGAGATGTATGTTTGCACAGTTGTGGCTGATGGGTCCCAATTATTATACAAACAACTATAAAGAACTTTCATACAAGTGGGAGATTTAGCTAGCTATAAAACTAGGTTTAAATTACCATTTTTGTTCTTCGAAAATTCCTGTACCAAGTCAAGAATATGACAGTTGTTTTTCACTCGTTCCGTTGGTTGATAACGTTTGATTTTGTCAGTTTTTATGGACTTCCCCTTTTTGAATTTACCTTGGAGTTCGGTAATTTTGTCATACTTTTTTCGAAATCACGTTGTTGTGTATATACACAAATATACAAATGAAGAAGGAAACAGCTGATTCTAGGCTCACTTCAGGTATACATGTGTACTTCCAAAATGATTATAAAAATGATTCTAACAAAATGAATTTTGTATTTGATACATACTCAAAATGTTAAAATCTTTAAAAATTACACTTTTCAGCCATCTTTAATCATTTATAATTTTATCATATAATAGGAAAAACACCACATTTTAAAAATTCACACATGCATAATGACATACTGTGAATGTTAGTTATGCTTTGAGGAAAATTTTTAAATGTTTTTTTTTTTTTTTTTTCGAGAAATAAATTCATATTAATTGGTACTATTTCTTTGCATTTAAACATATGAGTAATATCCTGGTCCTCACTTGTCAAAATGGTGTGGTTTTTCTCGTCCAGAATATGTACGAAGATATGTACCACTGGACGTTTGAGCAAACTATAATCAATCATATTCCTATTTAAGAATTATTGCATTGCATTTGTTATGTTCATGTTAAAAGCAATTAACGACCTAAGAATTTTATCAATCATAGATTTTTCTAAATTACAAAACCATACAAACCATAAAGACTGAACGTTTACTATCACGTGGAGAAGTGTAAAACAGATAAACTATATGCCTTAGCAAGCAACGGTGTCTTGTTTAAAGCTAAATTATAAGATTTTGTTAGCAATCCGTACCTTATCAGTTTTATACAAGCTGCAAATACAATTCTTTGAAATTCTTGACTTGATATCATTAATCGAAAATATTGTATCACCCCAGCGCTTAACAGTATAAATGCTTGACTAATTATTTTCTTAACAAAAGTATTGTTTCATTTTACAGCGCTGCTAAATAGTATAAATGCTTGAATATGACAAAATAAAATTGGAATGATATATTTGAAAAAGTCTAATTTGATATTAAATGCCTTTGTTTAATTGCTGGCGTCAATATTCTTTAAATCCTACATTCATTTTTTTTTTCAACGTGTATTTGTATAATTTGATAATCACTTTGTAGAGGGATAATTACAGGTGATATCTTTGTTGTAAAGAACAGACAATCAAATGAGAAACATGCTCCAAGATTTCTTTTTACCAATGCTGTGATTAATGAGTTGTTCCGATAACACCAATCAAAGAGTTGATCAATAAATACAACAAGCGTGGACACAGAAAATGTAAAATATACGCTAAACATAACCAACTGTTCATTCAAGAAAACGGCAAATCATTTGATTGACAGGGAAATTTATTTCTCTTTGAAATGAAAACCAATCGTGCTATTACAGAGTATTCGGTACCTACGATGAACTTCTTCAACACTTCAAGTGTATCTGAACAAGACTATACCAACATTGATACTAATGGAAGTGTAATAACAAATTCTTCGAATGGAACTATAAACTTTGAAATGCCTTCGGAGTATCGCCACCCTCCGGAGATAACTGCGATTTATATTATAGCATATGGTATTGCCTTTTTATTCGCACTTTTTGGCAATGTCATTGTGATAGCAGTAGTTTTGCGATATAGGTGGATGCATACAGTGACTAATTTCTTCATTGTAAATCTGGCAATAGCTGACATTTTAGTAGCTCTGTTTTGTATACCAGTATCACTTCTCACACATATATTTGTAGGTAAGTATATACTATTTTCATTATTTTTTACTAGTTTGTGAACGTAAGACTTTAGTTTGAATTATTGATATTCAAATGTCTACTTTAGAATACAAATGCTATTAAAAAAAACCCTACTTGTATGACATTTCAATAACCAAATACAACAAGATGGAACTGCATGTCAGAAGAATTCATATTATCATTTCGGGAACCACATTATTCCTAAGAAATATTCAAATTTATTGCAATAATTCATATGTTTGCAAATTTCAATCTACAAGAATTTTTTTTCGGATAATAATATTGTTTCAGTGGTCTGTCCTAAATCATCACCTATAGTAAGGCGTCGTAAATTAAAAAAAAAAGCACATACATTCTGAACAAAGTAAATCGATTTAAATCAAATATGGCTGGATTGTCCTTTTTCATGTTGTATTAGATGACCTTAACTTGCCCGGTCATTGCCCATTTATACTATTAAATGGAACACTTGAATAATATAGCAATATTGGTCATTTTTATAGCATTTACATAACATATTTACTTAAATATTGAATATAGCTATATTATTGGCCTTTTTACTACGGAGTTGGAGGATTCATCAATTTACAAAGATTGCTTGATTCTATTGTAAATGTTCGGAAACACAGTAGGGTACTGATTTCCGTATGCGCAGCACATACTTCACGGACAGTTTTCATTACGCTCGAGAAAAAAGATTAGAAAGGCAAACATATAAAATGTTTGAAAGCATAAAAAACCTGAAGGACAAAACGCAAGCAGCAAAAACCGTCAAAGTTCAACTTTGATAGAAAGAGTAACATCATCTGACAAGTATACCCGAGACCAACAATTAAAAAAAATCTAAATTTTAAACATTTGAGAAATTAAAAGTCTTAGAGATTGAATATTTTAAACATTTTTTCATAGAATTGTTTTTGCTTAAAATTTGGTGTCCGTAACTATAAATGCAACTTTACCTTAATATATCGCAATGTCTTGTCAACCGTTACCCTAAGTATATATAATAGTTATTTTTCTATTTATCTTTCTATCTATAATATATAAATGGTCGTATACATTTTTTTAGGGAAAAAGACAGGAACATTCATGTAATAGGTAAATTAAGAGTGCGAAAAATTTTGCACCAGCAAAATCTGTCAAGACTAGGAACAGAAATATGGTCACTACATGCATGACTTCCTCCGACCGACAGTAAAACCCTTGCCAAAGTGGGGCGTCCGTTTGGCTGTGCGGGAGGTACGAGTACGCAGCCATGTCCGGTCAGGATGGGGCACGTCAAGAAACCTCTTTGAGGGGTCCGTAGGTAGCCTCTTGCAAGGCAAAATTTCTGGCCCTATCCAATTTCCCCTCATTTTCTAGTTGCAGTCTAAATTTCCCCGATCTTCATCCCGGACGGCCTCTATTACAGGATCTACCTAATGTATTTATTATTAATTTGTTCTCGTCCTGAACATGCATGAAATATTTGCCACTGGATGTTAAGCAATGAGGAACGATGTAATATATATATTATATATAGATAGATAAATAGAAAAATAAACATTTAATATAAATAAGTGATTTATCTTAAATACATTGCTAACAATATAATTTACTATTTTGTCATTTGCCCCATAAAATTTCATATGATTTTAAATATTCAATTCTTTCCATATACTAGTATATTTGTTTCGAAAAAATTCTTTTGTGGTAAAGATCTGTCTCTTTATTTTGTGGAATCTGGCGATTCTTTCAAAATTTTGTTGCTTTGAAAACCGGTAGCGAACACCGTATAATAAGATTCAATGCTGTGAAATACGATAGTTCCACATCGTATGGTATTTTAGTGCTTATATTCAAATATCCATCTGTCCCTTGTTGTAAAATTCTGCGCTCACTCACACAATCTAACCATATAGTTTCGTTTATCATGATTTATTTTTACTGTTGTCGGAACAAGCTGGAAAAAAAGAAGGCGCTACAACCAAGTATATATGCCCCTTTCGAACTTTCACAGTGAATTAAAAATGTTATTATTATTATCCCAATACTTTATGATTATTTATACTTTCGTCGTTCCAGACTGAACGGATAAATTAATTGTTGATTGCTTAACATCCAGTGGCAAATATTTCATGCATGTTCAGGACAAGAACAAATTAATAATAAATACATAAGGTAGATCCTGTAATAAAGGCCGTCCGGGATGAAGATCGGGAAAATTTAGACTGCCACTAGAAAATGAGGGGAAATTGGATAGGGCCAGAAATTTTGTCTTGCAACAGGCTACCTACGGACCCCTCAAAAAGGTTTTTGACGTGCCACATTCTGACCGGACATGGCAGCGTACTTGTACCTCCCGCACAGCCAAATGGACGCCCCACTTTGGCAAGGGTTTTACTGCCGGTCGGAGGAAGACATGTAGTGACCATATTTCTGTTCCTAGTCTGGACAGATTTTGTTGGTGCAAAATTTTTCGCACTCTTAATTTACCTATTACATGAATGTTCCTGTCTTTTCCCTAAAAAAATTTATACGACCACTTTCCTTGCTCTTTCTTTTCGGTAACAACAAGTTAGTATAAATCTTATAAAATCGTCAAATGTTTACCAAACATTAGTAATAAACGAAATTTGTTTTGCATGTGTGCGTTTAGCCTTCAAACTGTTTACATTAGCAAATCCTACCTCCATAATAATGCGCAATATGTCTTCTACACATTTATTGATCGCTATATTTAAAGTTTAGTGCCAAATATTTATATTATTTATTTATAACATGTCAATATGATACTAATATGAAACCCTCTTTGTAATTATCTGATACGCCGAGCGAGAAGTTTGTTGTGTGCTTGCTCAGTTGACATGTCATTCGAACATCTCATTCTCACATTGAGCCGACCAGTCTTTGCTCCCACTCCGAAATGGTACATGCTAAGTAGGAAAGTTGCAAATTCCATTTGAATATCTCGTTTTTGTTTGATCTTATTGTTCAGTGGCAAATATTTCATCTTTATTCAGTACTAGAACAAATTCTGAAAAGTGACTCGACAGGGTTGTATGGAGGGATGTTTTGACTGGTATTGGAAAAAGGGTATGCTGCATTTGGACATAAATGTAACGTAGCAAAAGGCCATCTACTAGCCTTTTAATGTTTTAATAGTTCTTTAACGTACAGAGGGCAATACACTCATCACACGAGAACTCGATTTAATTTCCCAATTCTGACTGGACGTGGTTGCGTATTTATACACCGTGCACAGCCAAACACTGACAATGCCTTGGTCTGAATGTCGGACAGGTTCGGCTGACAACATGCAATACCCAGTCAACCCTTGGGTTTCCTTTGTTTTACTTAGCATTATCGTGATTACCCCACGACCTCTAGCAAACGAGACGAGCACTATACCTTCACATTGGTTAGAAATATGTTGAATATATTTACTTAACTGAAAGCGTTACAGAATATAGCAGTTTTAACCCAATATATCAACTATGACATGTTTATGACGCCATATTCATACCACAATTGAATTTTAAGCTCATAAGTGACCATACTCATGTATTAATAAATTGAAAAAATAATAAGGGGGAGGGTAGAGACCAATAATTGCCTTATAAGATCCTTTCCTTATTTTGGTTAAAAGGAGATATGTGATTTATGTCAAATTAATTTTAAGTCTGCAGGATTTTTTTTTAATTTTATGTTTAATTTTGATTCCTTAGTTTTCCGATATATGATAATGTTCACATCGCAGAGCCATTGTATTAATCTAAGATAACCGAGAAAAAAGGACAAAGTTAGTATTTAGAGAGTTGTTCAACTTTATTAAATTTTCATATGAGCTTCCTTTAGACATTGATTCAGTAATTATCTGGAACAATTTCCGCTTTTCTGAACTGAATGGATTATCTGTACTGAATGGATTCTCCTTACCTACAATTCTACTGAAGACAGTAGTATTCGATATCTAATGAATTTGTGTCAAATCAGAATTTGATTAAAGTAAGACAATTAAACAAGTATAAAGGAGACAAATGAAAGATTAAGAATAAACTTGACCATTTTATTATCCTTGCAGTATATCCATCTTTTGATAAAAGTAAATTGTTGAACATCGTTTATTGAGTCAGTTTAATCTCAAATAACAAAGGTGTCTTTATTTTATGCCATAGGAAAATTATTTGAAACAGTTCCCTGTGGGATGTACAAGTTCGCGGCCACGTCCGGTCAGAATGGGGACGTTAAATCCGATGCCTCGTGTAGAGAGAGTGCCACGCTCTTTGCACGTTAAGAACCCTTGCAACAACTCGTGAGGGGTCCGTAGGTAGCCTGTTGCAAGGCAAAATTTCTATCCCTATCCAATTTACCCTCATTTTCCCGTGGCAGTCCAAATCTCCCCGACCTTCATCCCGGACGGCCTCTATTACAGGACCTACCTTCTGTATATAATTTATTGTTAATTTGTTCTCGTCCTGAACATGCATAACATGTTTGCCACTGGACGTTAAGCAACCAAGAATCAATCAAAGGAACAGTTCCCTCAGAAAATTTTCTCGCATGCTAGTTTAGAAAAGAACACAAAGGCAATTTCATGGATTGTTCCTGGTTATTTGCTTGTTTACGATACCGAAATACATGACTGCTCTTTATACTGCTTTTGATACTTTATTTCTGAATCAGAAACTCAACAGTATCCTCGTCTCATGGGTTTTCGTGCTATTAAGAATGCATTGTGACGTCACAATTTCCATTGAAAAAGCATGCATAGTACATGTACGAATTCATATGACGTACGAAAACATATGATCTGACCATATAGGTGTTGACGACAACCACACCGTGTGGAAAAAGGCAACACGACGACGTCGTATATCTCGCACTATCGAGGTTTGTTGTAGGCGAATCTTAAAACTATAATAGTAAATTAAAAGCCTTTGAAGTATTTAACACCCATTGACTTAATATCAATTCACGGAGATCTAAAATATTCAACGGCAATATTTAAGAAGCTG